TAACACGCGTACGTATTTCTCATCGTGTTTTATAATAATTACAAAATTGATCGAAGTATCATAATTTTTTCGAAGAACTTTAATATCCTATATCCTTAAGTTCAATAACAATCAATGACATAAAAAGAAATTTCCAAAATTGAAAAAGACGTGACGTAAATGCATATTGCACATTGGAATATTATTTGAAACGGATTTATGACGGTATATAGGATAAATATTAAACGTTAATTTGTATATCCTTAAAATTAATAAGTGTCGATGAAAAAAATAGAAAAAACAAAAACAAAAAAAAAAAAAAGAAAGAAAAAGAAAATGAAAAATTTGCAAAAATTAAAAAATATGCAATGGTATGCATTGATAGAATTAGAAAAATTATTTGAAACGAATTACATTGATTGACGATAAATAAATAAAATTAAAAATAAATGAGGCCATTAAAAGTGATTCGAAACGAATTAAAATGATAACACTTCGATATTTTCAAAGATAAGGTATTGATCATACAAATTTCATCGTTGATTTATTTTTAAGACTGCCGCATTCGTAGATATATGTATGTATGTGCGTACGTGCGCGTGTGTGTATGTGTGTATTGATTCTGAATCATTTTAGAGAGTGAAGGAATAGTTTATCATGCATTAGATACGTGAAGTTTCCAATTCGAATCGTGATTATCAGTAACACCTTACGATATATATATATATATATATATATATATATATATATATATAAATGATTCAAAGTCGAGTAATCGCTTAAAAACAACCGTCTATCATAGCTTAAAAAAATAAATATAAAAGAGAGCCCATTTCGTTCAATCACGTGATTGAACCAAATTTATCGTCAAATAGATTCCATTCAAAGGTGTATCATTTTCAATAATAATAATAATGATAATAATAATAATAATAAAATTGCAAATGGAAGAAGAAAAAAATAGAAGAAAGATAATTCAGAGATCATTGTATCACCGTTCGATACCCAACGTCCTTGTATAATGTAACTTACAAGTAATGATCTATCGATCCTTTGAAACTACTCGATGATTATTATCATTGGTGATATAATATTTTTATTAAATCTCTTATCGAATACATATGATATTATCAAAGATTCTGCGAATATGAAAGATAATCTTGATTGTTGAATCCCTTCCTCCCTTTCTCTCTCTCTCTCTCTCTCTTTCTCTTTCTCTTTCTCACTCTCTCTCTCTCTCTCTCTTTGTTTTTCTCTCTCTTTATAATGTTAAACTCTTTTACATGGAATAATAACACGTAGTAAGAAGAGTATATGACTCGGATGGCACAAAAGAATGAGCAGTCAACAACAGCGCACCTGTTATGTTCAGTTTTTAACGAGGTCAAACAACGATTAAACGATGATCGAATAGGCACATCCAACAAAGCTCTCTCTATTCTTAACTTACGTAATGTGTACAACATTGTTTTCATAGCGTTCGGACTCTCGATTATCATTGAAACTTCATTGCTTTGAGAAACTAGTGAACGTATGTAACTAATTAAGAACAACCTCCTCAACCGTCTCTCTCTCTCTCTCTCTCTCTCTCTCTCTCTCTCTCTCTCTCTCTCTCTCTCTCTCTCTTTATCTTTCTCTTTTTATTCTTTCTTTTTCCTATACAGGTAACAAGGACGCGAGTAACACGATGTACGAGTTAAACGTGATGTTTTCTTCATTGCCGCGATAGGTTGAGCTTTTTTCTTTTTTTTTCTTCTTTTCTTTTCTTTTATTTTCTTTAATCGTACGAAGGTTGCAAAAGGAGTCGAAGCGAGACTGCTAATGGACGACGCGTGTACAAGTCGTGATCGACTCCCTAGTACACACGTGTGTTTCTTTATATACTGATTCATAATTCGTTCTTTGAAATTTCGTCGTGAAATTTATTATGCGTATGTGTATATATAGACGTAATACGATTCATATGTGCGCGTATTCACGTTCATATAAGTAACAGGAAAGGAGCGTGGGAGTGGGGGACGGGGAAGATGGAGTTGGCACTAAACTACCCACTTACATGTGTTATCTTTTTTTACAGACTAATCTTTTTTTTTTTTTTTTTTTTTTTTTTTTCACAAATCGTAAAAGGAATTACGAACCGTTTAAAAAAAAAAAAAAAAGAAAAAAACGGAGTAATTCTCTTTTTAAATTCATCTAGCAACTTTTTTTTTTTTGCTTTTGTTTCGATTTATATGACATATCTACTTTGTATCTATATACTTATATGTATTCTTATATATATTCATTTATAATAAATTTATAATGAAAATTTTGATAGATATACGACGATGGAGAATTAGATAAAACGATGGCAAATGAAATAAAGATTAATACGATCGATTAGAAAAAAGATATTGGGAATATATATATATATATATATATATATATATATATATATAAATTTTTTTTCTTTTTTAAATACAGCGTTAAATCGCTTAAATTGTCATTAAGATATTACTCGATTAGATGCATTCATATATTTTTTCTTTTTTTCTTTTTTCATTTTCTTTTCTTTTTTTACTTTCCTTGCAATTTCTCAAAATTAATAAATAATTATAACCGATAAGCGTGATGCCCATAATAAGAAGGAAGTGGCTTCGGTGTGTATTCAAAACAAACGATCAATCTAAACGAGATATCATTGACATCCTCCATCTATATTAATGTTTTGAAGGATGACATTTAAGAAGATAGAGATAAATTGATATTAAAATGATAACATTAATGGAGTTACCTATTATACATACATATATATATATATACATATCATATCCATAAACAAGTTCTACGTTTTCCTTAGAAAAACAAACTATTGTATTAAATAACTTACTGCATCATTCTATAGATAAGGAATCTTTTTTAATCATATATTACATATTTACGATCCGTGATCTTAATTGTTTTATCATTAAGAAATTATCGTTGTTGTTCTTGCTGCTAATAAAAATAATATAGACAAATAAATAAAGTGCCGAAGAAAGCCGTCACGTTTTTCTTTTTTCTTTTTTTCTTTTTTTTTTCTTTTTTTTTCCTTCATTCTCTTTATAATGCAAAATTTTTTGTTTTTAAAACGAATCGAACAAAATTTAGGAAGAATTCATAATAGTCTAAAATAACAATTTGTAAGCTAATTAAAACCCATTGAAATTAACATATTGTCGTTTGATTATTCAACGGATTCGTTGGAAAGCGATCGAAAGTTTCTATGAATGTTTTCTGTTATAAATAGAACGATGATACATAAATCAAACTATTTAATATTTAAATATCGTTATTGTCCGTACGAAAATCGTGTCATTAATTTCTTTTCTTTTTTCCACTGCCGTTGGCAGAAATTCTTCTTTTTTTTTCTATTACAAAAAAAAAAAAAAAAAAAAAAAAAGAAAAGAATATAAAAGAAAATTCCGCGTTCATCTTCCATTTTCAAACCGGAGAAGAAAAAGAGAGAGAGAGAGAGAGAGAGAGAGAGAGAGAGAGAGTAGTAGTAGTAGTTACAAATGGAAGGAAAGTGTGTCATTTAAATTTAGCTCGAAATTACGTAATATCATTAAAGCCATAAAGCGTGTTCGATAACGAAAGAAAAAGCAACAGCTGTTTGTTGATGGACGACTGATTTGTGAATTGAGATGATTTTTCAGTTTTTTCTTTTTTTTCTTCTTTTTCTTCCTTTTTTCCTTTTTTTTTCCTTTTTTTTTTTTCTTCGCACATGCGCATACATACATACACCCGCGTGCGTATACGCATCATTGAATATTGAATTTAATTAAATGACGAGAACTGGTATATTTAACGAATCAGATTTAATCATTCGTAATTCTAACGAAGGACGTTCTTCGTGAAGAGCACGATAATAATATATATCGCAACGTACGAGCTAGTAAAATGAAATATTATTTGCATCTTTTTCTTTTCTTTTTTTTTTTTTACACCTCTTTTTTTATACGAATATCCCGTACAAAATCAAGTCTTCAATCCTTCCACAAATCGATCGTTCGCAGAACAATTCGGACACGGTCATTGAGACATCATCGTGTATTCTCACGTATCAAACTGACCTAGATCAAAACATCGTCGACGAAGTCCATCGGCAAAAGATTCGTCGGGTCTTTAAAATTATTATGAAAATCTTTCGTGAAAGCTATGACAGTGTAAAAAGAAAAACAAGAAAATAAATCCAGTTACAAGTGGAAACTTTTTTTGGATGTATTATCGATTGGTTACGTCACAGAGAAAAAGTACAACTTTGCTCTTGAGATTTATAATTCCCAACTTATGGATTGCAAAATCGGAAAAAAAAGAGAGAATGAGAAGTGGAAAAATATTGAAAACAAAATAATAAAGAAAGAAAATGATAAAAATATACCACAGTACTTAAATACATATACACACATATACACATACACACACACATACAACAGTTTATTATATATATATATATATATATAAAATTTAAATGACACCTGCATGAATTGCGTCTCTCTCTCTCTCTCTCTCTCTCTCTCTCTCTCTCTCTCTCTCTCTCTCTCTCTCTCTCTCTCTCTCTCTCTCTCTCTCTCTCTCTCTTTTTGTTTCTCTCTCATTTCTCATTAAGGATCGAATTGATTAAAGACAACAACACGAAGACGATGGGAGGTTAATAAGAGGAGAGAGAAAGAGAGAGCGAAAGAGACACGCATGAAAAAACAAACGTGCATGCGTTCGTTTCGTGAGTGATTCTCTCATGTCTTATTTTCATTCGTTGTTTGTTCGCGCGTATATATGTGTTCCCTATGAACCCTTGTACGTACTACGTCTCTCTCTCTCTCTCTCTCTTTCTCTCTCTTTCTCTCTCTTTTTCTCTCTCTCCTTACCGTGCACCAGCCGCCCCTACTCCCCACCTCGAACCGCTTCCTTCGTTTTGCCTTCCCCCTCCACTATTCTACCATTATCAACTGTAGTGTGTATACACGTTCGAGCAACGGTATAAAGGCGAACACTTCTCGACGCTTCGAGTTAGTCCGTTTCGCGCGTTCAAACGATTAACACGTGTGACAACGAGAGTTCGATATTTTCTTTTGTTTGTTCTCCTTTTTTCTTCTTCCTTGATTGGATTTTATTCCATCACTGTTTTTTGTTTTCCATTCTTCTTTTTCTCTTCGTCAAAATTTTGTAATACTTTTACATCGAAGTCGTCGATTACAGCGAAATTTTTCGATAATACGATTGTTCATTTTATTATTGTTTTGTTTTTATTTTATTATCGAGATATCGTTATAAAGAAGTTTTATTGAGGATCGACAATTATTATTTAACGTTTTCTCCCTTTTTTTTTGTCTGTAAATTTTCTTCTTTTCAAAATTAATCATTCATCGATATCAAGATGCCTGTCGAATTGGAGTCAGTGCCATCGATCCCTCATAAAGCCTGTCCCACTCATTGTAATGGGTACGCGTAATTATTATTATTATTATTATTATTATTATTGTATGTCGTTGTATATCGTTGTCTATTTCTTTTTCGTTTTGTTTTTTTCTTTTTCCTTTTTTTTCCCTTACACAAAACAACGAAAAATACAACAAATACACAAAAATTCGATACTAATTTAAATTTGAGAATTTTTTGTTTGTTTTTTTTTTATTTATTTATTATTATGTATGTAGGTATGTATGTATATACATACATACATACGTGATATATAATTACACGCGACATGAATAACGCTGCAATGTGTTCCAATGATTTATTTAAGCTATCATAAGAAATTATTCTCGTGGAGTGCTTGAAAAGAGAGAGAAAGAAAGAGAGAGAGAGAGAGAGAGAAGTCGATTGAAGCGTAAAATGAAACGTAAAATAAGACGAATCTAGAAAGCGAGTTTCGCTTTCTAATTTCTAAATACTTAAAAGTCTATACGTAATTATATGTAATATAAATGCATCCAAACAACGACTAAAGGGTAGTTAATAAGAAAGAAAAAAAATTGAAAAATGAAAAAAAAACAACAAAAATAATCAAATATTCGTAATAATATCATATTAACATTCGAAATTATTATTATATATGTATATATATCTTGTTTTTTTTCTTGTTTTTTCAGAGAAGAAAAAATGAATAAGCTGTGTAGACAACTATCGATCGAAAGTCCAAGCATAACAGGACGAGATTGTGTATTCAGTTTCGATGTACCGGTTCCCGATGTACCCGCACAAGGTGCACGAATTCGTGTAGTTTGTGCCGGAGCTTGCTATCATCCAAAACGTTCACCGAGTCTATCGTCTTTGACATCAGTATCAAGTAGCAGTAGTTTAGCTACTGAGGCATCCTTAGAGGGTGATTTCCCAGTTAATATTCCACATCATGGTGTAAGAGATGCTGCATTATTTCCTGGATACGAGGTGGCTGGTGTCATTGAGTCACTTGGTTCTGACGTTAACGAGGATTGCGAATACGCTCTTGGTGATCGCGTTATCCTTTATCCATACGAAGGAATACCAAATGGATATGTCGAATATTTAGTTGTACATGATCTTAAATATCTTATAAAGATACCCGACAACATGTCACTGAGCGTAGCAGCTATGTTACCGGCTGGTGCATTACTTGCTATGAACACCGTATTTTCTGCACATGATCACGTACAGAATCTTTTGAAGGAAAGAGACGAGAAGACCATATGTAAGATTTTGATCGTTGGCACAGGTGGATTAGCACTTTGGGCATTGAGAATTGCGGCTTATCACTTCAGTGATATAAAGGATAGAGTGACCATAACAATCGCAACGCTTAAAGATGATGGACTAATAATGGCACAGGAATTTCAACGGTAGGAATCTCATAGATCTTTATTTTTTTTTTTTTCGATCTTTTGTCAATTTTATTGGATCATTTCAATCCAGGAAATATAATTCAATTATTTATAACGATCGATTTTTACTTGTTGATATTTTTCTTTTGATATCGTCAGTAATTATTTGATTCGATCGAAGTCCATCCAGTCAGTATTTATATTGTAATTTATCATCGGTCATGTCAAATCGAATTTTTAATCCTCTATATCATCGAAATTGTCTATCTTGTTTTTTTTTTTTTTTTTTTTTTTTTTCTTTGCTCGGACATACTTAGTTTTCTTAACGTATCATTTTTGTGAAAGATAAGATTCGTTCGTTCGGATTTTAACGCGATTGTATATCAGATTTCGATTGGAATCATATATATGCAATCGTAAGCACTCACGTATATAATCGTATCTTTTATGATTCGTTAGAAACATTCAAAAAAAAACATATGCAAGGGTTTTGGTTTTGTTTAGATAATAACGATAGTGACTGATAATAAGACGTCAAGATACGTGAGAAATGATTTATAAATGATAAATTCATGTTGATATAATATCTATATTTTATAGATACATATATATATATATATGTATATGTATTCAATGATCCGGATTTATAATAAAATATCAAACGACAAAGTTTGAAGAATAATAATAATAAATTTTGTTAATTAAATCAGTTGATAAACGAAAATGAACATGGTTCATTCGAATTATTAACAAATAGTTTGAACTTTGCTTACAGGGTCAACGTTGTACAATGGAACGAGGATCTATATGAAAAACAATTGATCGAACGGACAATGGACGCTTGTCAAGGTCAGGTGGACGTTGTAATTGACTTTGGAACTACATCCCGTAGTTTGCATCGTAGTATTCAATGTTTGAGCAAAGGCGGAGTTGTATTTGTAATAAAGGAAGTGGCCGATCGTCTTTTACCAAAGTTTAGTAGACGTGCCGAAGAAAGACAACAAAGTATAAAGTCAGTTGAACCAGGTACATTGGAACAACTCCATGAACTGGTACAATTGGTTGCATCGAACGAAATCGAACCACCACCACATACAGTATATCCTGCCGAGGAAGCACTCGACGTCGTTCACAAACTTTGCCATTCCATGATTCAAGGTCGTGCGATTCTTCGTTTCTATCCAGCTGATTAAAAGAGAAATGAAGAGAGAGAGAGGGAGAGAAACGAAAAGAAGAAAGAAGAAGAAAGAAGAAGAAAAACTTTATCTGTCAGTTTGTCTTGATCTGACTAATTTGTCTCTCTCTCTTTCTCTCTCTCTTGCCCTCGATTAGACGTGTCCAAGTGACTCTCCTTTCATGGATCCAACTAGAACTCGAAAATACCTATCGAGTCTCTCTCTCTCTCTCTCTCTATATATATATATATATATATATATATATATATATATATATCTTTCTTTTTATCTTTCTTTCTCTATAATTTCGTTCAAATATATAACTTAAAAATGTATCATGAGAAATGTTATGACAAGGGAGTACAATTATCGGGAAAGAGAGAAATTTCAATGAATTTAAATGATATTTATTTTTCTATCTTGTTAGGATTGGATTAGAATTCTTTTTCAAAGATTCTAGAGAGAGAAAGAGAGAGAGAAACAGAGAAAGATAGAGAGAAAGAAAATGATAGAAAGAGAGAGAGAGAGAGAGAGAAAGAGAGAGAGAGAGGAAAAGAGAGAGACAGACAGAGAAAGATAGAGAGAAAGAAAAAGATAGAGAGAGAGAGAGAGAGAGAGAGAGAGAGAGAGAGAGAGAGAGAGAGAAAATTTCTAGATTAATGATTTGATTTGTTCAATGTGATGTGTGAATGATTTCTGTTTTGTGAGTAAATGTATGAGAGGGAGACAAAGTGTGTGCGTGTGTGTGTGTGTGTGCTTGCGTGCATGCGTGTTCTTCACCTAACATACTTGTATTTACGTGTTTACTCCTACCGACGATCTCTCACGGTTACATATATCTTGAATCTATTTTCTATCAACGCGTCATTTAAACATCGTAGAAAAAATTTCACTTTTTTTTTATGGCCTCTCGAACGGATTCAAGAATGTTAAATATTCGTTCGGTGATAAAATATATATGTATATATTTTTTTTTTTTTTTTTTTTCTTTTTTTTTTTTTTTTTTTTTTTTTTTTAGAATTTATTTGGACGATCGTGCGTGTGTTTAATCAAACTATTCGAAAGATTTACCTTTTGAAACTTACACGTACTTAACACTCACATATACACACAATATATATATATATATATATATATATATATATATATATATATAGGGTGGTCAAAAAGTTCGTAGATAATTTTACAAATTAATTATTCTTTTTCGAGATTTTTAAAAATTTCTATGTCAGACTTGTAGTTTTACAATCTGTCACAAAAAAAAGGAAAGGTAAAAAGATGAAAGAAAAATTAGTCTAAAAAGTCTGGTAAAAGGGTAATTAATTTTTTAATTTATCCAGAAACTTTTGGACCACTCTCTCTCTCTCTCTGTATATATATATATATACTTCATTAATGAAAGGAAAGAAAAAACAATGATAAGGAAGATATTATTTGAAAAGTAAATGTAAGTTTTTTAAGCTTATCGTTATCAGGTATAATGCAAAAAAAAGGAGAAAAAAAAGTAAAAATGAGCATAGTTTAAAATTTATACTACAATTATAATTATGATATATATTTATAATATAACAGCGTTAGCTCGCGGCGAAGATACACGAGAGAGAGAGAGAGAGAGAGAGAGAGAGAGAGAGAGAGAGAGAGGGAGGAAGAGAAAGACAGGAGAGAGAGAGAGAGAGGAAGAAAGAGAAAGACAAGAGAGAGATATATAAAACAAAAGTGATAAATCAAGAAAATCGGATGTTAAATTAATAAGGGAAAATGAATGAATGGGTTCGAAATGTGTAAAATCGTTTAACTCGTTTTCATCGTCGATTTCGATAAACGGCCCCACCTCCTCTTCTAATCTATGGCGTTTGATGTGTGAAAGTTCATTGTTTATTCTTAGATCAGTATTTTTTGCGTCTATAGATATATATATATATATATATATATATATATATATATTTATATATAAGTTTAATTATAAGTTTTGTCGATAAAAAATAATAATACTATATGTATTAATAACGATGATCGGAATCGTATCGCAGTTAAAAGTTGCTCTATCTGAAAAGACTGTTTCGTTTATTTAAACGATATATATATATATATATATAGATATATATATATACATATACGTATATATGTATGTGTATATATATATATATATACATATATATATACACATACACATAATAACTTCTTTTATATCATAATCTTATAATAAGCATTAGATTTGTAGGTACACGAAACGTCATTGTACCGACTGTTGATCGTGACAGTATAAATGTATTATATTACATGACGATAATATATAGTAAAATATAATACGTTTCTATTAAAAAAAAAAAAAAAAATAAATAAATAAATAAAAATAAAAAAAAATAAAAAATCGTATAATCGTTGTCCTTTAATTATGACATAGGATCGCTTGAAATCCATAATCATAATTAATTGATTCTGTGAGATAAATATTATCACGTATACGACATTAATATCCGTGAGACTTGAAAATATTTTTAATTTACGTATTAAAATTAATAAAAAAAAATAAAAAAAAAAAATAAAAAACAATATGATAACAGATGAGAATACTCAAAATTTTTTATGATCCAAAATGATCCACTTTCGAATATTGTCATTTCTCGTGATGCCCACTTCTAATAAACATTTCAATTATTCTTATATTTTGATATTTAACGTGACACACAGACACACACACACACACACGATACACTTTAGAAATTTTTGTTATTAGATAAAGTATCATAAGAAAACAGCTTCTTTTATTAAAAGTAAAGCCATTGTGGTATGATAGTAAAGACGATTAATTTATATCAACATAAGAAGTATATTTCAATGATTTTTCAGCTTGATAAACGTAAGTATAAGAAATTTTATATAAAATAAAAAATATCATTGAGAATTATGTATAATCGACGTAATTACTATGTTTTCTATACTGTTTTTTTTTTTTTATAAAGTCTAGCTATCACAACGAACAAAATGAAAGGTGTTCTTTTTTTTTCGAATGTTACTATATTGTTTAAACGATATATATATATATGTGTGTAGATGATAAACAATTTTACATTTTCAATATACAATAAAATATACACATAAAGTAAACAGACGGTTTAAAATTGATATAGAAATACCATAAAGAAATATATTACGAGATTATAAGTTTGTTTTTAAGAGAGTAACGTGCTATGTAAGAATATGATATACAATATTACCATATCACAGAAAAGTAAATTTATCAACGTCACTAAAAGTATTTTTTTTTTTGTTTTCTTTTCTGTTGTTTTTTTTTACTTTTTTTTTTATTTTTATTCTTTTTTTTTTTTTTTTTTTTATGAATACACATATTAGATAACGATGATAGTGACATAGACAGTGAAAATATACTGAGTTGAAATAAGTTTTCGAACGAAAGATATGTATATATATATATATATATACACACATTCGTTTTCTTGTTTAGTACTAATCTCTTCAATGTAAAAAAAAAAAAAAGATGAAGAAAATCAGCTGCGTATATAACTACATAATAACTTGATTAAATATATACTTGTATATAAATTTCTATATGTAAATGTTATAAGCGAATCATTGTATAAATTAAGGCACGAGAAAATATTTAAGAAAATTTGTACGGTTATAAAGTAAATTAATATTTCGCATATAATAGTTTTTGAATTATGGTTTCGTCTGTGGTGCTGGAGTCAAATAATTTTTAGGAACGTAACCGCTCTGCCCGTAACGATCTTCTACAAGCCACCATTCATCATTTCCTTTCTCATCGTGTGGCCTAATGAGCCTAAGAGCTTTACCTTTCTTCGCCGGTAATGTACCAGGTATACCACCAGCAAAATCGTACATGGTGTAATAAAACTGAAAATTTGTATATAAAATTATTTCGATAAAAATAATATCACCTTTAATTTAATGTCCATCGATTATATAAAATTATAAATCACACTTACTTCATAAGTAAGATTTTGATACGTTTGAGTTTTCGAAATTTCTTCAATGTTGCTATAAATTTGATTGGTATTAAGTTCTTCGTCTATATTTAAATAAAGTAACGATTGCAAATTAGATTCCGACAATGGTTTTACTTCCTTTTCAGGTGAAATCATCGATATAAGATCTGACATTGAATCGGTATTCCTATTGACATTAGATTCCAAGCTAGTTGCTTCTTTGATAGGTTGTTGAATTTGTTGTAAAGGTGTCAATTTATTAGCTGGTAAAAAACCTTTGACAGTACCATTGTCAACAAGCCATCTCGTAATATCACCCATAGGATCTTGATTCTTTATAACAGCTACCAAAGATCCTTTTGTAGCTCCCAAATCGAGTGATGTAGTTTTCGTTACGTTTTCTTTTAAAACGTACAACTTATCCCTCGTATATTTTTTTGTCAATAATATCCGTTCCTCTTCGTCTTGCGAACAACATTCTTCTTTTTCCTCTTCTGTTCTTTGATTCGTACCACCGAATGAGAAACGTGCGATTTGATTCCAAAGTAAATTATGATTTACCAGGAAAGATTCTAGAATATCTTTTAGCGACACTTGAGTCGTAATCTGTGAGAAGAAATATATTTCGTTTTTTTTTTTTTTTTTCGTTAGATCGAATTAATTTTAATTATGTTTAATATATAAATTTAAGATAGCACGCTTACCTCGCAAAGTTTTAAATATCTTTTCGTAATTCTTCCGCTTAAAAGTTTACGAGCATTCGCAAAAGCGTTAATGCATTTAACTAAGACTTTCATAGCTGCATCGATTAATATCGGTAATTCCTCCAACAATTGTTGATTCAAGGCTTCGAAATTACCCTTTGCCGTTGCTAATTCATCCTGTACCTAATCGATCAATGACTCGTCATTAAAAAAAGACATTCTTTAAACGATATAAATACGCGTAATAAAATATGATTACAATTTTGGAATCTTTATACTTTTCGCTTTTAGAAATGGCAGCGTCATAATCTAACAATTTATCGTGTCTCTTTGTTATTAATATTGCAGGACCTTCTAAAAATGTTGTCAATAAATTCAATGGCACATTTAAACGTATTTCCAAACAAGATTTTAAATCTTGCATAAATTGTGACCAAATTAACGAACGGATATCTCTTATTCGTTTAATTTCAAGATTTGGTGTTCCCTGATAATATTGATTTAAATAATCTGACATAACTTCACCGGAAATAGCCTCATCGCTTAAATAAATAACACACATTTCGACGTCCTTTGCCAATTGCCACGTACATTTTTCTATAGATCTAAATTGTCTTTCGAGTTCTTCAAATACAGGATCCACTGCAATATTTGTCAAACCTAAACTAGCAGATAGTTTCGTACTTAAACGTGTTGACATCTTCGCAACGGAATGCATATTTAATTTAGCCATTTTTCTAATTAACGTATTATCGTTGTCTAAATATTTCAACACTAAATCTTTTCGACGTTTATACTCGTTAATGTAACAAGCCACATCAGTCATCGCCTTCCATGCTTCTTTTACAGATAGTTTATCTGGATGATCATCCTCGGTACACTAAGAATATTTCATACAAAATTTATAAACTGAATTAATAATATTTATATAATTATAATAAATCTCACCTTTATTAATTCAAACAAAATAAGAGGATATTTTAATATTCTTTGTACGGGTTTTATAAGAATGGAGCTCATGTCAAAGCAAGCTATTTGATAACGTAATGTCTCAGTACCCTTGTTAAATACACTCATTATTTCTTCATTATTTTCATACTAAAAAATATATAATTATAACTCTAAATAATAAAAAAAAAATATATATATATATATGTATATATGTATAATCTACATGGTATGATATTGAAAAAGTTATAAGATAAATTACGTTACGTATTAACCTTTTTTAATAAAGCAAGCGCTGCTTCGTGATTTCCACAGTACTTCACATATACAACACGTAATTTATTTGCCATTTTTGTAAAGCACGTACCAATTTGCTGTAATTGCTCGTCACATCCCTTCATAGCTCTTAATATCTCATGTAATAATTCTTCTGCAACTTGGATAATTTCTAATATGTTTCCAAATAGAACATCAACATCTATACCTTTTGCTTTAAGAAAATCAGGATTAGATAGATTAAAAGTTTCATAAGTTAATGTCAGATCACGAACATACTCTTTTTCTGTAAGCACTAATTCCGATATAACGTTTTGTCTTTGATCCGCCTTTTTTTCACTAATATCTATTGATATTTCAGATGCACATGCATTATCGATTGTCAAATCTTTGTTACTGTTCTGCAATGGCATACGACCAGGAGCAGGTGCTGGTGGTGCTGGTCTATGAGGTTCTGAAAGTCTTTTTGGTTTATATTCTTCATCTGTTAATGAACTAGGCTTGTCATCTCTTAATACAACAAAATCTTCTAACAGATCTATTGTGGAATCTGTATTGGGTTCTGATATTGGGCTTGAACTTAAATATCCTCTTGGACACAAACCAATTTCGCCATTAACATTTTTTACATTAATCCAATTTTCATTAGCCATACTGATAATAGTTACAATATCGCCTTCTGTTATATTCAAATCTCCATCCATTTGTGCTTTAAATGTATATTCCACTTTGGCCATTGTACCTGGTTCTAATAGAGTATATTCTGTGCTATTGTCTTCTTTATTAAGTGTTTCTTCTTTAGCTTTCATTTCTGGACAATCTACTACAATATTGACATAAGATATTGGAAAAATTCCTTTATTATCATCGATAGAACCTTCCATCCATTCCGAATCAACGTGTTTTATGAGATGTACTATTTCCCCTACTCCAAAATTTAATTCATTTGGAAATTGAGCATTAAATGGATATAAAGTTATGGCATATGGTTTAACGTCGAATGAATTTGCATTATCGTCGCGATCATTATCTTCTGAAACTTCTTCTTTGGACGTAGAAAATTGTGGAAATAAGTCGTAATAACTTGGTGCAGGATCCTCCTCTTTATATGACTGTACCGAATAACTATTGGAAACATTATTCTCTACTGAATTAATATTGTATAGAGACGAAGGTAAAACGTTTTCTCTTGAGACACATGTATCGGTTTGATCATTTGTCTCATCATTCATATAAGAGATAAATCCTTCTGGAAAGATCCCATTTCTACCATCTTCCGTAATTCCACGACACCAACCATCATCCAAAACTTCTGTCACAGTTACTACTTCACCTTCATTTAAATCTAATTCTTCTTCCAATTGTGCCTTCAATGTTACTTTCACTCTTCCTTTTTTTCTTATTAATTTCTTATTACCCGTTCTCTAAAAATAAAACCTAACAACTGCACATCTTATTTTTCTTTTAGAAAATTTCAATTAATATTTCAAATAAATTATATATTCAATTATATCGTTATATAAAGTGTACCTTTATTAAATTTGTATCTAACTGCCACGTATGGGTAGTAGGAAAAATTCCAACTCTGGAATCTATTTGGCCGTAGTACCATCCTGATCCAACTTCATGTATTCCAATAATAAGATCCCCTAATAAAATGTAAATATTTAATTCGTATGTAATATATTAATAATTTCATATTAATTTTGTATTTTTTTTTCTTTAGTTTTATTTTTTTCAATTATAACACATTACCTGCTCCAAATGATAAATCTCCAGATTGTTCCCCTGCAAAGGCAGCTATTGATACAAATAAACTTTGGGTATCTGATAAGAATGGAATCTCAACTTTATGTAAATGATTCAAAGGAAAGTTTCCTATTTTATTATTTGATTGTCCGTAACACCAATGCTTGTCAATTACTTTATGTATCTATTTAAGCAAAAAACATAATAAATAAAAATAATCTGCTTTCTTAAAATACATTAAAAAAAAAAAAAGGTTAGTCAAATAATTTTGTTACATGCGTACCAAAAAGTGTTCTCCCTTGTAAAGACTTAATTCTCCATCTATAGTTGTAAAAAAATCATGTAAAACCTTTGTCAATGAGCCACTTTCCATATTTTTCTATCGATATATTTTCTCCGTAAGTTTCGTATTTTTGATAAAATAAATTGCATGTAGAAACGTAACATTGACAGTTCTAATACATTTGATAATCAATCTTATCAACTTTTATTTTATTTCGAAATATATATTTGTATAAGATTATTATGATTAACGATACAACGAGTAAAATTCTAATAAAATCAATAAATTTGAAAATTCGAGAATTTTATATAAAACAACTATTTATAATTCGTATCAAAAGAGATTGCATTCATACGTAATATGTACATACGTCTCGGTCGATAAGTAAAATTCTATGAAATAGTAATTAAGCAAATGGATTAATTAACGAACGAAGAGAGAGAGAGAGAAAGAAAGAGAGAGAGAAACATTATTCACAAATATATCGGCTGCTCATATATTTTAATAATTAAAAATGAATACGAAAATGAATATAAAAATTATGACGGAATATTTATTATTGTATTTTGCCAATTATCGTTCGTACTTTGAAAACATATAATTTTCTAATCGAATTTATCATCTTATTAGAATTTATCATCTCATTAAGATCGACACATTATGTCATAGTATTAGAGTTTGTTTGAATATTAATTACTTTCGTTAATTTAAAATTAAAAAAAAAAGTATTGATTTATAATTTTTATATTACAAAAATATATCGTCGTCGTTGTTAGCCATATTTGTTTGGTCAATAAATGACAGTTAATATATCTAAATATAATGCGATACTTCTCTCAGCGCATTATATACCGTTTGAACTAAAATACATTAAATACCGTTAGGTATCATTGAGAATGTCTCTAGGAATTCGAAAAAAGAGCGGGAAAATATTACTCTATTTCCTTTTTTTTTTTTAATATTTTGTTTTTGTTCTCCCGAGATAGATATTTTATCAATGATCTTTAAAATTAGAAGAAATGAAATTTTTCTGCTAAACGGAAATAAATTTATCGGGCGTCGTTACGGTAGAATTATTTTGTTTCACAGGAATATGTATATTTATAGGTTAGTATGAAATTAATGTCGACTGACAGATTAAAAAAAATATACGATTTTAATCAAAATAATATCCATCAGAATCTACAGATTTTTGCAAGTTTTTTTTCCAATCCCAACGGCGTAAAATTCTATATTTTAGAACCAATGAATACTTTAAATCCATTTTTGTAGCAATCTGATTGGTGAAGATTTTCCCTTCCAAGTAATGGTCGAAATATTTGAAAAAGTGGTAGTCAGTTGGTGAAAGTTTCGAGGAATATAATGGATAAGGTGGAGTTTCATAGTTCGATTCGTTTACTTTTTGTGGACGTATTCTTCCGTTGTAGTGTAAAAAAAAAAAAAGAATTGGGTCCTTTCGATTGATCAAAAGCAGATTTTTAATTATTTCGATTTTGTATGGATATTGTCAATTTCTTTTTTTGACAATATTTTTCCGTTGTAACTGTCTCACCTGAATTTAAGAAATTATAATGGTAAATTACCATTTTTGATCATCAAATCTCGTCACCATTATTTTCTTTTGGTGCAACTTCGATTTCGGAAAATGTTTTAGTTGTTTGTCGTGATTCAATCGCTGTGCAGACAGTTAACGATTGTCATAAATAATCCATTTTTCGTCGCCTTGTAACATGCTTTTTATTTTGTACAAGAAGTATAGAATTAACATCATTACGATGACTTTTTTGATCCTCGTTTAATTCACGTGCCACCCATTTATCGAGCTTCTTCGACTTCCCTAGTTTTCTTAGATGATGAATGACAGTAGAGTGACTTACACCTACCACCTGTGCAAGTTGTCGAGTCGTTGTGTGTGGATCGGCTTCAACCAGTGTCTTTAATTGGTCGTTATCAACGACAGAATGTCGTCCACGACCTTCTTCATCTTCGAGGCTTTCATCTCCATTTCGAAATTTTTTAAACCACCGATGCACTGTACGTTCATTTACTGTATTCTCTCCAAATGCGTTATTAATATTACGAGTAGCTTCGGAAGCTTTATGACCAAGTTTATACTCATATAAGAAAATTATTCGAATTTTCTTTCTGTCCATCTTGAATTAAATAGTTTGAAGTGAGCACAAATTAATAACAAAAACAAAATCACATCTACTAGGATATAGAGTGACATCTTAATTACAAAATGGTAATATATAATAGACAGAAAAATATCTGATTTGTTAGTTCAAATATCTAAACTTCAAAAAATTTGCAAATTCGAAAATCGACATTATTAATTTCTTAACAATATAAAAGTAAGAATAATAAATAACATAAGTAAAAGTATTTGTTGCTTTAATCCGCAATTACTGTTAATTATTTTTAATAATTAAATTTTATTTTATAACTTTTAAAATATTTTTTGTTTTCGTCCTATCTACTCGGATTCATCATTAAGCACCATCTAGCGCCATACGTACTATCTAAAGTAAAAACATCAAGTAACGTCGGTATTATAGACAATAATGTCTCTAGGAATTCAAAATGGATGGGAGGGAAAAATATTATTTTATATTTATTCGAATTAAAAATAAAAACTTTATTTTTTTCCCTTTTTAATATACAATCGTTTTTATTCTATATAAATATTTATCCGATTAGGATCGTTTGGATTAAAAGGAAAAATATTAACTTTTTCCACTAAACGGAAATCCGTTTATAGGCGTCGCTATAATATTGTTACTTTACTTCACAGGTGTATATGATATAAATAGGAACATCCGTTGCTTTAGTTCGCTTTGATCGTTCATTATAAGGTGTTGGTTTAATAAATTCGTGGTTGCACATATCGCATATATGGTAAGTAGTACTTATAACCAAAAACACAAGGAACGTGGAAATGAAACTTTGTGAGAGATAGTTTCTATATTAATTCATTTAACTTTTGATTTAATTGAATTAATCAAGTTAATATATTTGTATATTGTTTTGGAAAGATAGAACAATTGATTGAGATAAGAAGATCAAGCGACGTGCTTTATAATGGCAGGATCCATAGAGATTCCACTTCGTGATACAGATGAGGTAAACAATAATATAATTAATATAATTTTTAAATACTCGTAAACATGTTTCTCTTTAATTTTTCTCTCCCTTTTTATGATTTAATCGGTGATGTGAAATTTCAAACTCGTTGGGGAAAAAAAAAGTCCCAATACATCAGAAATCTAAAATAATCTGATTAAATGCTTAATCTTTATTTCATCGAAGCTCGATGAAAACTCATTTGGAAAAGTTGAACCACGACTTTAATTCATGTTTCTTATGTTTCTTTATATGTTTCATAAAATCCATTTGATAATATCATAAATATAAGTATAGCGTTTTGAAAAGTATATTCATTTTTAACTTGTATGAAAAGATAAATAAACTAATCTTGCTATACGTTTAATTAAATAAACATTTTCTCTCTCTTTCTCTCTCTCTCTCTCTCTCTCTTTCTCTTTATCTTTCTTTTATTATTTTGAGATCTATATACAAACATTTTCTAATCTTATTCTAGAACTTAATCGAATAAATCAAACTTGATATATTTGTTTCATATTAATGCTTACCTTATACATATAATGTCGATATCTATATATATATATATATTTATACATTTTTGTAGGTTATAGAACTTTATTTAGATCAATTACCTGAAGGTGATGAAGTTCTTGGTATATTACGCCAAGAACATGCCCAACTCAACATCTGGGTCAATTTGGCCGTAAGTATCTTTTGATGATAAAATTTTGATCGAATAAAATAAATTATAGCAATAATATATTATATTAATTCTTTATTATAGCTTGAATATTACAAACAACATAAAATCGAAGACTTTATTAAAATACTTGAGTCTTCGCGAATTGATGCAAATATTGATTATCGTGATTATGAGAAAGATCAAATGCGAGCATTGGATATGTTGGCGGCATATTATGTACAGGAAGCTAATAAAGAGAAGAACAAGGATAAAAAAAGGGATCTTTTTACTAAAGCAACATTATTGTATACGACTGCTGATAAAATTATCATGTATGATCAGGTACGTGTAATTTATTAATTATTATTTACAATATGTCATATCGATAATTAATATCATTATCGATATTAATTATTTACAAATTTCTTTCTTTATTTTTTTTTTTTTGTCCTTTTATATAGAATCATCTCCTTGGTAGAGCATATTTCTGCCTTCTTGAAGGCGATAAAATGGAACAAGCAGATGCACAATTTAACTTTGTTTTGAATCAATCGCCTAATAACATTCCCTCTCTACTTGGTAAAGCTTGTATCGCATTCAATAAAAAAGATTATAGGGGTGCGCTTGCATTTTATAAAAAAGCTCTGAGAACCAATCCTAATTGTCCAGCTGCTGTGAGATTAGGAATGGGACATTGTTTTATGAAATTAAATAATCAAGAAAAAGCACGATTAGCATTTGAGAGAGCATTACAATTGGATGGACAGTGTGTTGGAGCATTAGTTGGACTTTCAGTTTTGAAATTGAATCAACAACAACCTGATAGTATCCGTGCTGGTGTGCAAATGTTATCTAAAGCATATACGATTGATTCGACAAATCCCATGGTGCTAAATCATTTGGCAAATCATTTCTTTTTTAAAAAGGATTATAATAAAGTACAACATTTGGCATTACATGCATTTCACAATACCGAAAATGAAGCCATGCGAGCGGAAAGTTGTTATCAATTGGCTAGGGCGTTCCATGTACAAGTAAGTATAATTAATTTTATAGAAATGAATTATAATTATATACTATACGTTTATAATATAAATCCGATAACATTTTTTTTTTTTTCCTTTTTTTTTTTTTAGGGGGATTATGACCAAGCTTTTCAGTATTATTATCAGGCAACACAATTTGCTCCATCTGTTTTTGTATTACCTCATTTTGGTTTGGGTCAAATGTACGTTTATCGAGGTGACGCAGAAAATGTAAGAGAATTATTTTTTTGTTTTGTTTTTAATTTAAATCTAAATTATGTCAAAGCAAAAATCAATTAACTTTTATTCCAAAGGCAGCACAATGTTTTGAAAAAGTTTTGAAAGCTCAACCAGGAAATTATGAAACAATGAAGATTCTTGGTTCACTATATGCCAATTCTAGCTCCCAATCGAAACGTGATATTGCTAAAAATCATCTTAGGAAAGTTACAGAACAATTTCCAGATGATGTAGAAGCTTGGATTGAATTAGCACAAATTTTAGAACAAAGTGATCTTAATGCAGCATTAAATGCATATGGAACGGCTACAAGGATTTTAAAGGAAAAAGTTCAGGCTGATATTCCTCCTGAGATATTAAATAATGTAGGTGCTTTACATTACAGGTATGTATACGTTCATATTTAAAATTATTTTAAGATAATATCAATGATAAGATAATTCTATGAAAATGTATATATTATATTTTTAAGGCTTGGCAATTTGGAAGAAGCTAAAAAGAATTTAGAAGAATCTTTAGCGCGTTCAAAAGCCGATGCTTTACATGATTCTGTGTATTATAATTCAATAGCAGTTACAACTACATACAATTTGGCACGTCTTAACGAAGCGCTTTGCATTTTTGATCGTGCTGAAAAATTGTATAAAGATATTTTAAAGGAGCATCCAAATTATGTAGATTGTTATTTAAGACTTGGATGTATGGCAAGAGATAAAGGGCAAATATACGAAGCATCTGATTGGTTTAAAGATGCTTTGAGAATTAATAATGAACATCCGGATGCGTGGTCCCTTTTGGGTAATTTACATTTGGCCAAAATGGAATGGGGTCCAGGTCAGAAAAAATTCGAAAGGATTCTTAAAAATCCTACAACCAGTACGGATGCCTATTCTTTGATAGCTTTAGGAAATATTTGGTTACAAACACTCCATCAAAGTGGAAAAGACAAAGAAAGAGAAAAAAGACATCAAGACAGAGCATTAGCTATGTACAAACAGGTAATAAAAATTATTGATTATTATTATTATATTTTATTGTTCTTATATATATATACATGTATATACATACTGTAATTTGATGCTTAACTCTTTTTGTAGGTGTTAAGAAATGATCCAAAAAATATTTGGGCAGCAAATGGAATTGGTGCGGTATTAGCACATAAGGGTTGTGTCAATGAAGCTAGAGATATTTTTGCTCAAGTGAGAGAAGCAACGGCAGAGTTTTGTGATGTATGGTTAAACATTGCTCATATTTACGTAGAACAAAAGCAATACGTTAGCGCTATTCAAATGGTAATTTTAATCATATGTTTATAACATAGATTAGTTGAGTATATAAAAGTTCTATTAATATAATATGGCTCTCTTTTAATATTTTGTTAACAGTATGAAAATTGCTTACGTAAATTTTATAAATATCATCACGTGGAGGTTCTACAGTATCTTGGTAGAGCGTATCTCAAAGCTGGAAAATTAAAGGAAGCAAAATTGACCCTTTTAAAGGTATAATATTTTTAAAAATATTAAATAATATAATAAGATCATAATAATAATATTTTTATTACAGGCTCGCAGAGTTGCTCCCCAAGATACTGTTTTGCTATATAATATTGCATTAGTATTACAACGTTTGGCAACACAAATATTAAAAGATGAAAAATCAACGCTTACTACCGTATTACAAGCAGTACATGAATTGGGACTTTCTCATAAATACTTCCAATATTTATCTGCCCATGGCGACAGAATGGAGCAACTAGCAGAAACAGAAGCACGAAAGTGTCAAGATTTATTATCCCAAGCACAATACCATGTTGCTAGAGCAAGAAGACTTGATGAAGAAGAAAAGACACTTAGAAGAAAACAAGAAGAAGAAAGGTAAGATCTAAATTATTAAAAATAATACAAATAGAAAATTAACTTATAATTCTTTATTTTTTTATTTTTTTATTTTTTTTTTTTATTTCTTTTTTTAATTTATAGACAAGCCTTCAAGATGCGTCAAACGGAAGAACAACGAAAGTTAGAAGAGATACGTCGTCAAAAAGAAGAAGAAATGTTACAAAAAAGACAAGAATATGTGGAGAAAACGAAAAATGCATTGGTATTTGGTGAAATGCCATCAGAGAAACCTGGAAGGAAAGGTAAAAAAACAAGAACTGATCAATATATTAGTGATAGCGGAGGATCTGGAAATGATGAGGGTAGAGAAGAAGTTCCTAGAGAAAAGAAACGTAAAAGGAAAGCTAGCGGTGAGAGTAAAGAGAAGAAAGGAAGAGGTAAAGGCAAACGAAAGAGAGATTTGGGAAGTGGAGATAGTGGTAAGAGAGAATAATATATATAATTATTTATAATTGAAAAATACACAATTTTTTTTTTTTTTTTCTTTTATCATGTTACATAATATATCTATTTCTAGGTTCAGATAGTGATCGTCCAAAACCTAAGCGTAATAGGAAAATTGGTATGAAAAAAGATAAGTTTCGTAAATCCATATCTGATACTCCGAAAGGAAAGATGCCTTTATCAAAAGAAACAATATCAACCAGTGAATCCGATAGTGATAGTGGAGGTCTTAAAATTGCCAGCGGGTAAATATATATATATATATATATATATATATATATATATATATATATATATATATATATATATATATATATATATACATTTATAAAATTTATTACAGATTAAATTTAATTGTATGTTAAACTTAATATATTATTTTTACAGCGGTGAAAGCGATAACGATAAACGGCCATCAGGAAGCAGAAGAATTGTATCTGATTCGGAGGGTTCACGAGCTTCACGTTCTAGATCACGTTCTAGATCACGTTCTAGATCACGTTCCAGATCAAAGTCAGGAAGTCGTGCAAGAAGTTCGCGATCTCGTTCACGTTCACGTTCTCATTCTCGATCTCGATCTCGATCTCGTTCACGTTCTCATTCTCGATCTCGATCTCGATCTCGATCACGATCACGATCACGATCTCCTTCACACTCGGCTTCACGTTCACCTTCACGATCTAAATCACGATCGGCTTCTAGATCTAAATCACAATCTAAATCACGATCGGCTTCTAGATCTAAATCGCGATCAAAATCACGATCAAAATCACGATCAAAATCGCGATCGAAATCTCGATCGAAATCACGATCGAAATCACGATCGAAATCACGATCTAAATCACGATCGAAATCACGATCACCTTCCAGATCTAAATCACGATCCCCTTCTAGATCTAAGTCACGATCTAAATCACGATCTAAATCACGATCAAAATCACGATCTGCTTCTAGATCTAAATCACGTTCGCGATCACATTCTGTATCTCGATCTCGATCTCGATCTCGGTCTCGGTCTCGTTCAAAATCTAAATCTGGATCCCAAAGTGAAAGTGAAAAAGAAAATCAAGAAAGCCAAAGAATTGTATCTGGTTCAGAAGGTTCTCGTGCATCATCACGCGCAGCATCACGATCACGATCACGATCACGATCACGGTCTCATTCACGTTCAGTCTCTCGATCACCGACGCATTCACGCTCTGCCTCTCGATCTCCATCCCGATCAAGATCAAGATCAAGATCAAGAAGTATTTCGCAATCAGGAAGTCCTGATAAATAAATGTATATATTTTTCACATAGAAATCAATTAAGAAAATTTATAATAATGTTGTTTTTTATTGAATATTAATATTTCATCGTCCCACATTTCATAAGTATTAAAACGAACGTGACCGAAAACGTGATCGTGCCAAAAAAAATTTTATTTGTATAGTAATAGAAAGCTATTAGTTGTTTGTATGTAATTAATTTTTTATACTTCTTGTTAGATTCATTTGTTAGAATGAGATGCATTCGTTTGATGACATATTTTTAATACGACAGATGGAAATATTATTTTGATTCATATCAATACAATGTGACATTTTAAACTACAAAGTAACAACACACCACATTACCATAAACTATGCATTTAATTAACCATATAGAATATGATCTTAATATTTTGTCATATCAAATATATATATATTAAATATGTATATATATATATATATATATATACATTTATATATATGTATTTAAAGATGAATATAAAATGGATATATGTAATAAAAAAATAAATAATTCAGAAATATTACTAATAAATATTGGGGGTATATGAGTATCTGAAAATAATTTAAATTGCAAGTACTTGTACACCACCAATATGTATATATATATATATAATATATATATATATATGCATATATAATATATATATAATATATATATATATTATATAATTAAAATGTTACTTTTAATGTTAGTTATAATGTAATTTCATGCTATTAAGTTTAATATGTATTTACTGACTTATTTAATTTATTTACATAAGTTCCATCTTGCAGAAAAGATACAAACTAATAATAGCAATTTATGACTATACAAAAACCCCAAAAAATTAGTGAATATTACAATGTATGTGTAAAGAATATTATTACTATCTATGACACATAGAAAAAAATGCACAAATTTAACATAACACTTTCAAACTTCATACTAATCGTTTAAATTAATATATATATATATATTTTAAAATATATATATATATATTATGTATATATAAATCGTGCAAGTTGTAAATAGTGAATTTTTAAAAAACTTGACTCTTGTAATATATAATTCTATCTATGTACTATATTTAAAAAATTGTTGGGATTATTTTCTTACATATGTAGAAATAATAAAACAACCTAATAACAATGAGTATATCACAAAAAGACAGATATAAAGTTAATCAGTGTATTCTTTCTGCTTGTGTATCTATTCATATTAGCACAATCTAACTCAGATTCTGTGTATCGAAAATTTCTTAGTTCAAATTATCAGTACTTTTTTGTTAATAAAATACATTAAGTTAAAGTTTTGTAGCTAAATATTGAGATACTGTTGCTCTCTTGCAGACAGTTTTTTAAATATAGTTTTAATTACAATTCTCAGTTCATATCTCTCACTCTTCAGCCTTTTTATTATTGACAATATGTCACATAAAACATTTTATTATTTTATTATCTACTTTGACATATCAGTAGATAATTAAAATAATTTAATCTCTTATTCATTTTTATAGTTCAAATTGCAGAATCGAGCTTTCCAAAATGATTATTACACTTGTAAGCATCAAAGTTACATTTATATCAATTTTCTATATCACTCTTAATGTTAAAGGCATTTAATTACTACCATTGCTTAGTGGCTTATACATTTATAATTTAAAATTCGTTATTTATCACTGCTTGTGTCTCTGTTATGTTTTAAATTTTTTTATTAAGTCACAGATATATCTTTCTTAAATTTTATGTATTGCACTTATAATCATATTAATACAAATTTAAAAACATATTCAATATTAAAATAATAATTTCAACATTAGATTTATCAATAACAAATGCAAATTTTATCCTTTATAAATTTTGTTTCAAATTAAGTCATGATAAAGTTAAAACATAACATATTAAATTTATATTTGCAATATCTTATAAAAAGCTGCCTCACAAAATGATATCATGTACAATTAAAACAATCGTTATTAATATTATAAATGTTAATTATATCGGTATTGCAAATCGTTGCTACATTCGTGGAATATTATAAACGATATTTCTATACACATCTGTTTTCAGCTGCCTAAAAAAATATTTACTATCAATGACATTTTATGTGGAGAAAAAGAATTTATATTGTTAAACAAAAAGGTCTTGCACACGTAAAAGTATAAAAACTGATAATTATTGATACATGTAACTTTTAACTTAATTAATTGCTAAACTGCATTACTATCCATGTCTTTATTTATCTTCTTTATAATTAATATTTCATAATTAAAGAATCACTTATATGGTTTTCTTAATCAAGGTTTTAAGAAAATAATTAAATACTATTATGTATTATTCAGTGTTAAAAATAATTTTACTTCTTAAAATTGGCGGAAATAAAATGTAGAACTTTCCAATAGGTTCAACATTTCAAGAGAGTGCTATTATTTGTAATGTACATTTATCACTCGCGTTTAACTTAGTAATTTACATTATAGTTTTTTTCTTATAACTTGTTGTTTAACTTACTTAATTATATGTTTTTGTATTTTTCCATTGTGCAACATTTTATATACAATTTAAAAAATGGGACATACATGTTCCAAATCTTTTATAGTACAACATGATACAAAGAAAATTTAATTTATGTGTGAGAAACGGCACAGACAGTAACACACGTAGCAACTTGACTATATGAAATAATTTTATTAACATATTATAAAAACCAGGTTCTAAATGCGACCAGAGGGACATTACGGTACAAGAACTGTGTACAGAGAAAATACTAGTGAGAGTCTTAAATAAATATCGAGACACGTATGTAGCAATGACAGTGTGAAGTCATCTTTTTTTTTGCGTGCATAGTTGTTGCTATATTGATGTCCTAGATCGACAGATCATGCCAGATAGCTATATGTGTCCTTTTGACCCTCTGTGCGCTCCAGATATTCTTTTTCAATTAAAATATCTATACATTTCTGAAAGAACATTAATAATTTTTCTTGGTTTCAATTATTCATTATTTACATATTTGCTTCCTGCGATATAGCAAAAACTAAAAAGATCATCAATAATTTGCAGGAGCAATTTTTAATATTTTAATGCTTTCAGTTCAACGAAACATCATATTAGCATGAAAAAATACATTGTACATATATGTCAAAATTCATTCATCTTTTTTTTCAACAATGTATGTAATGTTCTTTTATTTATCTTATAGAAAAGAGTAGACATTTAACATTAAACAATCACAGTAATTGTTAGAAATAGAAGAATTAACTATAAAAAAAAAATAAAAAAAAAAAAAAAATAAAAAAAAAATTAAAAAAAAAATAAATAAATACTCACTTTAATAACGTGTACTCTTGGTTTAAACCTGGAACTCAATTGATTTAAAACTTCTGCCACTAGTTGTTGATGTTTCAGTACTTTTCTCATTTTCATAATTCTAACAATTGCTGCTTGTATTAAAAGTTTTCTATCTTCTTCTATGTGTTTGTGTGTTGTTTCTTGTTCGACTTTTAATTCCGTTTTCATTGGTATATTAATATTTACCCTTAATTTTTTACTGAAATAAAGATGCATTCCAAATATCATAAAAAATATAAGCAATGTAAAAACAAGTGATTATATGTAATAAAAGAAAGAAAAAAAAAAGAAAAAAAAAAGAAAAAAAGCAAAAACAAGAAAAAGAAAAAAAAAGCAAAAAAAGAAAAGAAAAGACAAAAAAGAAGAAAAGAAAAAAATGAAAGAAAGACTACATACTTTTTATAGCCTGAGAAAAGTTCTACCACTGACATAGGTGTTAACTCTGTTTCGTCATCATTAACTGCTGTTAATAGCTTAGCCTTTAAAAGTATTTGTACAACCTGTAAAATATTAAAATAAAGAGATAATCTGTTATCTTATCTTTCTAAACTTTTCTATATTACCTGAAGTAAAAAATCCATTTTTATTTGAGTAGCATCATGTAATTGTTGTATTGTCCATATGGTTGATCCATTGTATTGCAGTAAAACAGCCATTTGAAAAGTTGATGCTTGTAATGTATACCTATGAAATATAAAATCAAATCAAACGAATAATAATATAACATATTAACTTCGTTAATTATCTCATCATAATTATTAATATATAATAAAAAATATAATTAATATTTATACTTTAAATGATTTTCTTTATATGATAATTACCTATTTTTAAAACAATTTGTATGCAATTCTCCTTTAGACATATTGTATAACCAATTCAACTTTCTTCCACTGTGTTGTGAACTATAAAAGGTTGTAAACCTATGTACAGATCTCTCTAACTGAAAATATAAAAAACATACATTATTAATTAATATTATTATTATTATATAAAATTTATTTTTTGACAATATGTTAATATAAATATGTACAATTAAAATTAAAATAACTTTCAATTAAAATCTTATAGGTTAATAATAAATTATACCTCTGTTGGTAAAGAAAAAGTAAAGGACTGTTGGAATGGCCATGAACCAGAAGACAAAACCTGTATACTGAAATCAATGTCTAGTGGTTCTACAGAATTTGTTAAATGTCGTCTGAATTGTTCGTTTAAATCTTTGGATACTCCAATATCCTGTAGAATAATAAAAAAAAATATATGAACGGTCATATATTTACTTAATATGTAATAAGATTCATTACCTGGAACATGCGCTGTAATTTTGAAGTATATTCAAAGCCACAAGCTTGTTTTAACTTGGAGATCATAGAAGCCTCTGCGTCATCACTGGCAGACATATGCTGCACTAAACGTTTTGCCAGCATTTTACTATAGAACTTTTGGAATACATCCTTGTCTTCAATATATTTAAATACTACCATCTGTTACATATACATACATATATATATATATATATGAGAATAAAAAAAAGAAAAAGAAATATATATATGTATGATAAAAGAAATATAAGTAATATAATATTCTATTAGATTACTTACAACTTGATTTAATGTATCTTCAAGTTCTGCTTCCTCAGGATTTTTACTACTCTTTTTAAGCAATAAATCACAGTATTTTGCCAACAATTCAGGTGACTTACTACTACTATTTGCAGCTCTAGTTACAGAATTACTGTTGATAAAGCGACCGCATGCTTTATCCAATGCTGCTACAAAGCCACTATCATTGTTAAATGCAACTAATACTAAAGCATTATATTTTTTATGAACTTCCAAGATGGTGTTGACGTATACTTTAGGATCCTGTATAAACAAATCATTTCATATCAGATATTATTCTATGTATATATATCATATTTACCATTTAATATTTGAAAAAGTTATTACATTAGCTGCTGAATCTCCACACTTATCTATAGCAGCAAGCCCTTGATTAGCTATATGACTTTCTAAAAGGTTTCGTAGTTCGCCAAGTCCATTTGGTATTCTTGCCATTAATTGATACATTCGCCCTAAATCTGTATTTTTATCAGCATCCAAAAGATTTTGAAATTCAGAATGAAATATATCCAAGTGTTTTTCAATGAGTACTCTTTCACAAGTTTTTGCTAATCGTTCATGTGTTGTTTGATGTAAATAAACTTGAACTCGTTTTTGTTCTTCTAATAACCTTTGTTCTGCCTATAATAAAAATATTAATGTAAAGAAAAATTGGAATATTTTTTAAAATAAACGAAAGTTCCTTTTATAGAAATATATATTGCATAATTAAATACCTTTTTCATATATTCTGTAACAGGGTTTTGTCTGAGGAATTCTGAACTTTCACGAGTATAAAATCGTTCTGTATCCTCAAGGAAGAGATTTTCAAAGGATTCTTTATAAACAATAAGATTTTGTCCCTTAGCACCAGGATCCTCCTCGTTCAGGCCCAATTCTACGTAACAATTAATTACACCACTGACTAAACGTGTGTTTATCGTTTCTCCATTACGTTCTCGTTCTATTAACTTCAGCACCGCATTGGTAACCTATTAAAAAAAAAAAAAAAAAAAAAAAAAAAAAAAAAAAAAAAACAGATTCTCATAATTTTTTTTTTTAATTTATCAAACATATATATATATATATATATATATATATATATATATATATATATATATATATATATATATGCTTATTTAAGATATAATGACATACTTGTCTATTTAAATGTTTAAATAAATTATCACGCCACGTAACCAAGGCCAATTGATATATTTCATATATTCCTTTACGTCCTTCTTCACATTCACGACGCACCCAATGACGGTTTAAATATGCACATACTCCATTTAACACCTTACTACTGAATTGATATTCTTCCCATTGTCTTGTATAGAATTGTAATACATCTTCATCCATTAAGTCAATCCCATGCTATATACCACAAACATCAATATTCTTTATAAGAAAATAAGAAAACTATATGCAAAAAGTCTGTAATATGTATAAATTAATATTTAAATAATATAAAATCAAACCTTCTAATTTTCAAAATATAAATTAATATACATACCTTGAGCAAACTAATGAGATAATTCCTAAGAAAGTCACGCAAACGTTTATATAATTCCAGGCCCACTAACTGTGCACCTCCTTGTGATATTTGGCCCTTTTTACTTTTAGTAGACATTCTAGTATGTTGTTGATGAACACTCGTACAATAATTATATACATGTCTATGTTCAGCAATATAGTAAGGATATTATAGATATAAAAATATCTATTATTGTTTCTTGATGATATTATCATTTTAAAAGGATACGTATAAAGTTCTATATATCTTGGTTTTGACATACATTGTCTATTATATACTTGTTCTATACCCTCACGAAGATCCCCCCAAATTTGATCCAAATCTATTTGTTTGAGGCCTGGGGGGCCTCCTTGATGACTCCCTGCCCCTCCAACGCCTCTATGCCCCGACATCCTATTCTTATACGCTTGCCTGGTGAGCGTCAGTGTTACTACTTACTACTTACAATTTCTGCAAAGGGAAAAAAATGAGAGAAAAATTTAATAAAATTCAATAAGATTATAGTAACAGTTATTTAAAAGTACTTTGATAGTTACAGAATAATATATTCATACACGAATATATAACAAATTACACTTAAACTCTCTAACAAAATGACACTTTATTGTAATGATTATATTATAAAAATAAGAATAAAAAGAAATACTTATTCATTTTGTTTGAAGATAGAAGATATAAGTTTACTATATGTATAATAATATACAATTACATAGAGAGAGAGAGAGAGAGAGGGAGGAGAAGGGAGAGAGAGAGAGAGAGAGAGAGAGAAATAACCAATTAGAAATGTACGATCGATCAAAATACAAATTATATGGAAATATTCATGTAGGAAAACAACAAACAAATGGACCTGTCTACTGTAAATACGACGTAACGGGCTTGAAAAATATTATTAAAGAGATTTCGATTCTCGATCAAAATGTGCGACGAAATATGTCTTATAATTCTTGTACGGAACAGAAGGTCGCTATCGATATTCGAAGGTCATAATGAATTCCGTTAAATCGAGATTGAAATCATTCGTTAAGATATATGGATATAGAATTGGTTAACGATGTTATTGGTCACAATTACACGATAATGTTAAGAAGAATAACACATACCATGAGGTATCTCGTTCTACTTTCGAAATGCAAGCCACTGATAATAAGTTGAAAATAAATTAAATTAAAGGATAATATCAAGGGATCATTGAAGAAAAAAAAAAAAAATTCTTTTTCTTTTCTCCCTCTTCCCCCCTCTGATTCTGTCTCATTCACTCGTTTCTCTCTCTTTCTTTCTCACTCATTCTATCCAAATCCCCTTCACCTCTCTTATCCTTGTTTCTCTTTCTACAATTCTATCTGCCTATATGTTATCTCTCTCTCTCCCCCCCTCTCTCTCTCGCCCTTTCTCTCTTTCTCCCTCCCTTTCTCTCTCTCACCGTCTCTTTTTCTTTACACAATTTTTCTTTTTTCTTCTCTCTCTTCAAGATTCTCTCTATCTCTCACCAGTCAATGTTCACCACCGCATAACAGTCAGGAACGACGAGGAAGCTTTCTTGAAAATGCAGTAGCCAGGGTAGGAAGTGTCGTCAGGATATTATAAAAACGTGGTGGACACCTTCCTCGTCTCCACTTTGATATTTTTTTCCCTTTCTTTTTAAACCTCTTCGATTTCTGTGTATCGCGTGACCTACGAAACCGTGTGAAGAAGCGTGCGATCGTGAAATAGAAAAACTTCTTTTGTGCTTTCTCAAAAATCGCGTACACTCGCGATCCTGCTGCTACGCTTCTGAAAGGTTAGGTCTCACTGCTACCAATATAACGAACTTATAACCTTCACTCAACGAGTTCGAGCGTGGCGCGTTTTTTTTTATTAAAAATAATTCGGTGCTTTAATTTTATTACGGGGAAAAGAAAAGAGAGAAAATAAGCAAAAGAAATGATACTCGTTGGTTAAAACGATGATAACGATCGATCGGTATCAAATCTATAATATAAATTTTAAATAGTGGATTATAAATTCTACTGCATTTTGAAACTTGTTATCTTCGATACGATTTGCCTTGATGTTATAATGCATCTTTTTAACATTAAACTCCTTTGTAAATTTTTATAACCTTCGAATGTGTATGATTAACGAGATATTTTTTCTTCTTTTTCGTTTTGGAATATTTAATTTCATTTGCAGTTGTATTACGTACAATTACAGTGATTGTTTATATGTATATATGTCATAGTCTAGATGACACCGAATGGATATGTTAGAAAGGTTAAAAAGAGATAGGCAGATTTGTGATGTGTGTTGTGGCCTCACTGATTTTCAAATGAGTGCACGTAATTTAAACGAAGCACTTTTATAATTAAACGAGTAACTTTAAATTATAATAAAATTCATTTTAGAACGTTCAGTAATTACTGAATGTTAAAATCATCTATGTATATATTTTTTGATCCTTGATATCAAAGGTCATTAAGTGATAATAAAATGGCATCATTTGTGGAGTAAATATCTAAAGGAAAATTCTGTGTACATTGTAAAAATTTTTTATTTTTCGTTACTATTAACACAAAAAATTTAATAGAAATACAATTATCAATCTTCTAACTCTTCTTTCTTTTTTTTTTTATTGGTTTAAAATGTGTTACTATTAAATAAGAATTTCTTACTTATCGATATAAAATAATTTCTATAAAATATGACATTTCTTTTCGGAGTACATAAAATGAGATTATATATAAAAAGTATAAGTATAAAAAATTTGATTTTTTAATTTAATTATCTCAAAAATAAACATGATTTTTATAGATGAATTTGTATTCTGCATTACAAAGATTTTTCAAATTGCAATTCGCTCAATTCTTAATGCAGAAAAATATCTTTCTATTTCGAGCAATGATTAATAATTTTAAAAACTCAAGGCCATGATCTTAATTCATAAGGATTTATCATCTTTACAATCTAATCAAATCTATTTTTTTTTTTTTTACACTTATGCATATATATGACATTTATAACAATATACTGTGTAGTATAAAGAAAGTATTTATGTCGAATTTTACTTTTTTACGTGATTATATATTTATTATATTCTCCTATAAAAATATACCAGTTATGAAAGTTAACTAATTTCATTAAAATGTCATAATTCATTAATCTTTGCTAAGGTCATAAAATCTTTGATATATCTGATTTGATTATTTATATTGCAAAGAAATAATTTGAATATGTTTACATAATCCATGTTTACAACAATGATTATTCTAAGTATTCACGTAAATATGAATTTTCTTTTTTAATAAAAAAAATGACAATTATATCATACATCAGATTTGTCTATAGAAGAATGTTTATCAATAGTTTTTTTGGGCTGATAACTATATAAAAATATTGAACAAATTACTAAAAATGCACCAAAAGAAAATTGAAATGTTAAATGAAAATCGAATAAATAAATGGAAGCTATGCACGAAATTATGATTGCCAAAGAGGTGGCAAATCCTTTGAGTATATTATCCGCATACTTTACTACCATAGCAACAATAAGTCCACCGCCTGCTTGAAGTACTACCAAGTAGTAAATGAATGAATCATAGCCAAAAAAGAAGCCTTGTTTTTTAATAATGTCACCATCATTTAAAAAACAAGTAATTAATCCAAAGGGTAAAGATAATAAACTCAATTGAACATTTCTCATCCAGACAGATATATCAGATCCTTTAAGAATTTTTTCAAAATATATGCCTGCGAAACCTGATAAAAAGCATGCACTTAAGGCCGCTGTGAAGCCAAGTAAATGATTTTGTTGTATACCCGATGGTAATGTAACTGTTGTTCCGCTTTGTGCTAATTGTACTAATACTACTCCTATAACTAAAAGTATTAACGCGCTCCATTGAGTATTTCTTAATGATCTTCGAAGAATTACTACAGCGAAAAAAGCTGTTGTTAAAATCTTGAGTTGATAAGTCACCTAAAACGCAATAAACTATAAATAAATTGATAATAAATGAATATGAGAAATTCATAATAAAATATTTTTACCTGATATGTTGCTGCATCTAAATTTGATGCTGACACATAAAGTAAATTATTTTGTATGATATATAAAATTGATGGTACGCATACTTTTAAAGTATCTACTGGTTCTTTTATAATGGTTTGTTTTAAGGCATTATAAAATTTTAATAGTTCACCTTCTTCGATATAGACCAAAACCAAGCATGTCAATAGTTTTAAAAACTCTGACATAACAACGGCTATGAAAATTATATATCATAAAAGTATATAAATACAGCAAAATGATTTTTATGTCATAAATATGTCAATGTGTGTTTATATTATTTACCTGTAGATGATATGAAGAGATCCCCAGATCTAGTCCGCGCATAACGCATACTAAGTCCAACCAATGCATTTTGAAGAGTCAATGTAACTAAGCTGACATATTTTAGTGTTTGTCCATTAACTGAGAACAATATTGGGAATGAATAGATATTAATTATAGATTTATATGATTTCTTATAATACATATTGTAATAGAAACATATTGTAAATTATACATTATGATACTTACATTGCTGCAACTTATTCATTATTATTATTATTAATATAAATGTAATCTTCGTAAATCATTGATTTTTCCTTGTTTTTTCATATTTTATCTGGAACAAAAAAAAAAAAAAGAAAAAAATAATGATTATATTTCGATATTAATAATAAATTCGTTTCATATAAAGTATATGAATTTCATTGTGAGAGTATCTAGCAACATTATTTTATTATATAGATCCAACAAAAAAAATAAATTATAACTACTAATAAATGTCTGGAATATTTTTTGAATAGACTAATGTTATTATAAAATATATATATATACATATATATATATATATATATATATATATATATATATATATATATACATATATCACTTAAAAAATCTTTATGTATTATTAATTTTTTAATAGTAACATTTTATAAGTCAGTAATATATACAGAAATTATTTACCTGAATTATTTACCTTATTTAACATGTTTTAATACTAAGCGCGGTGAGAATTGAATTATATCTGACAACTAATAACATAAAAATTCGAACACATACGTTAAAAGAGAAGCTAGCCACGTTTACATTCTATTTTAGTTGTCGAGTATTCAACCTAAAGTAAACTATCTAATCTATGACAAGGGTTATATTGTGTTAACATTACTGTCTCGTGTTTGATTGATTTATGTTATTTCGTGTTATTCCGATGCATAAAAATTGTGAATTATTTGTTTTCTTTAGAATTGAATTTATATAACTAATAATGAAACGAAGCTATTATATATATCTATTAATAATGGTGTTATTTTTATAAAATAAAATAAAATAAAATAAAATATATTGGTGAAAATAATCTCAGTTGGTAACCAATGTCACTGGCGAAACCCTTTAATTTAACTTTATAGTATAAAATTTAGCAGTTTTCATATCTTACTTTTCACAATTCGATTTTGCTGAATTGTAGTTTATGGCCGTTGGTACAAAATGGACCAAGATGTTACAAGATTCATATACTTTATATTTTTGACAACGCTTTTAATCGATTTAGGATCATCTACACATTATTTAAAATATATCGAATGTAAGTTATATATTGTATGATAAATTTAGCTATTAAAATTATATATATTTTTTATATAACCTCTTTGATACTCTTAGATAATATAGAACATGGGAAGGATTGTCATACAATTGGATCAAATAAACAGAACAAAGATTTAGCGGTTATAGTTAAAATTACACTTGATCGTGGAATCAATACTGATACATATTGTAAATTTACTATTAAAGCTAATGAAGGAGATGGCTTGTTTGGTGTAATACAAAAAATGACATTTAGACGTAATAAAACAGAGTGTGTAGATTATGTACAGGTAAATACATTTTTTAAGAAAAAGTTATTCGGTCACTGATTGACTTGCCAATTAAATTGTGTATATTAAAATGTGTATATTTTTAGTTCAAAAGGAGCGACAGTCAAAAAACACAAAAATTTTGTGGAAATTTCGATCGTAACACAACTAAATATTATCCAGTCCCTGAACCAGAAAATAGCACCTATGAGCTTGGATCATTTTTTTCTGAAAATCCATATTCAGAATTTGATATTAATGGCAAATTAGAAACTACAATATTTATTGCCAAAAAGGGATACTTATTTGCAGAAAAAGTTCCTACTCTCAGTATTGTTTATACACCATATAAAAGTAGGTTTAAAACATTTGTCACATTAATATTATTGGAGTATAAGAATAAATTTTATCAATTTCATTTATAGAATGTAAGGGCAGCACTCCGATAAATTATACATCAATACTTTTTGATTCATGTATTTTACAAGATTACTTTTGCGACGGATATCAAAATTGTGTACTAAAAATCTGTCGGGATGAGGAAAACTGTCCAAATGCCACTGATATCATTAGCAATACTGGAACAAAAGTAACAGTGGGTGCTGTGACAACAATAATTTTGTGTACAATTCTTTTTGGTGTATGCATATGGGCATGTAAAAAAAAAGATTTACTCTTTTGGTCTTCCGATTGTGCCGGTCCAAGTGCACACTCATCATTATCTAGATCAGGTGGACAAGAATCTGGAAGCATTAATAATCCTCAACTTCCAACAGCTCCAATGTTAGAAGTAGCTGTACCACCTCCTGTGTTAGATAAAGATCTTCCACCTAGTTATGATTCCTTATTTCCAGAACAGAATAATTCTACTGTGCAGCAGATGTAAGTTATCAATGGATAACCTTTAATTTTTTGCAGTATATTGCTTAATGTTTTAATTAGGTGATGCTGCTTCTTAAACAATGTATGTGTACAAGCATATAAGAAGTTAAAATCAGAAATACGTCTTAAAAAATCTAAGGTTAAATCTTAGAATTAACATGAGCAAGGAAAATGGAGTACAAATTTCTGCCTAATTCATTTTTCATGTTTTTAATATGAATAGTAATGTTTATAACTTTATACTACACTTCGTTTAGTTTTTGCGACATATTTCTGATATGGTTTATACATATCCATAGCTTCCTTGTTTTTTTTTTTTTTTTTTTTTTTTTTATTAAGAAATTAAAAATATATATATGTATTAAGTAAAAAGTAAGCCTTTTCAAGAACTAATGTATTTAATGCTGCGATGTGGCAATATTAACAATATTTTCATTATTATTAAGGAGGTGCATCATATATTTTCTAAAATGTATCAATTAGAATGATTAGTAACATAATCATAAGGAAATCAATTTTACATTTAATATTTTGATACATCTTATTTTCCATCTAAAAATAGAGGATTATTTCTTTAAAACAATTTTGTATGAAAATCTTGAAAGATCTGATAAAATTACTCAAAATTTATATTTTCTAGAAAGTGTATTTCTATTAAGAATTGTAATGTAAGAAATTATAACTTTTTTTACTTTTGAGCCATGACATTTTTCTCAATGTTATATTAGTTTTTATATAAACAATTAATATAAGCATTGCCACTAATATTTATAATGAACAAATATAGTTTATTTCAATATTATACTTTTAATTTACTCTTATTTATTTTGCGATCAATGATTAATAAAAGTATTGATAGAATAAGCACTACAAAAATATAATCTATGTCGATAATATAGGCCTTAACGCGAGCGCGTATATGCGTGTGCGTATAAACCATTTGTAATGAATTTGTATAATGAAATTTTTGTAAATATATATCCTTATATATATAATATATATAAGATAGTGACACAAGTATTGAACACTTAAAGTAAAAATTCATAATACATGTGTTACGTTTTACGTATTTTGTTTATTATCACAAAAATAATGAATAAAAATTCATCTTGTACAAATATTTTTTTATTATATATTTTTTTATTATATATTTTTGTTGTTATATATATATATATATTTTTTTTATTTTTTCTTTTTTTTTTTTTATAATTTCTTAGGGTCGTCATCATCATCCTTTTCGATACTGTTGTGTTCGATCATCCATAAGCAAACATTGATAAGAGAATCCATTTCGGCATTACCTGATCCCAACTGATGATTGTCTTCATATACAAGCATTCTGATAATTTAAAAACATACAGTTAAATTACATCCAAAAAATTTAGTCTTTCTAATTACATCGTGGAAAAATTTAGACTTTAAAATCTTTATACCAAAACTCTTTCCGCGAGTATCTATTTATGTACTCATTATTATAGCTAAATCTTCATATATATCAAATATCATTTAACTTATTAATTATGTTTACTTACTTAGTCTTGACGTTATTAGCTTTAAGACGGTGATACCAGAGCTTTCCTTGCGACGGTGGAACTCGCAGATCATTTGTGCCAATACATATGAGAGTAGGAGCTTTAACTTTATCGACATGAACAATAGGTGAACAACTAAACATTTTTATAAACATTTCAATGCATCCTAACTTTGTTGCGCTGTATGATTCAGTTGCATCATAAGGCACATTTATTACAGCTGCGCACCTAAATAAAGATTCTCATAGTATAGACATAATAAAATATATATTTAACACCATTTTAAATTTTGCGTTCAATAATACTGCATTTCAGTCTACTTTTAATTATAATATTATGGACTTTATAGTATTTTAGTTAACAATTAAGCTTACACATTATGGTGATATGCAAGTTTCTCTTCCACAGATAAAGTATTGCGACTGAAATACAAATTGGACGATTAAAAATAAGCAAAATTGATAATACAATAAGTTATTTACCAATCTGGAATATCCGAAATGGTGAACATAGCAGCAATATCAATTACCGGATTTCTTGCGACAACAACTTTATATAGGTCCTGAAATATTTTGACAATAATGATTATATTATATTTAATATGATAATTATACCTTCATTATTATTATTATATTGCATATTTTGTTTCTTTAATAGTTTTGCAGGTTTAATAGTTTTATTTCTTACTGCATACTGAGCACTTAAATGTGCTACTAAAAATCCACCATGAGAACCTCCACAAAGTCCTACATGTGAAGAACTAAGCCATGGGTATTTACGTAAAGCTTCTTTAGTAGCAGTCACACAATCTTTTGCATCTACATTGCCAACTTTTCCTTGAAGATATTCTACATTTTTGGAACCCATTCCAGTAGAACCACGATAATTAACTTGTAACACTGCCAGACCTTAATTGTTTATTTAATATTAGTAAAAAATAATAGAGAAAAATAGAGATATAAAAAGAAAAGTGTGTTATTTACCTATCAGTGCAAACAAAGAATAATCGAAGGAGAAAGAATTAGTAAAATTAGAATGTGGACCTCCATGTGGTGCTACTACTAACGGTGTTGATTCATCAATTCCACCTTTTGGTCCAAAATATGTAAAATTAAATGATTCTGAAATAATATATTTAGAGTTACTATAATTTAAGAAAAACAAATTTATAAACATTTAAAGATAATTATGTAAATCATTTATTTTTTCGTATATATGATTATAATACTTACTGACATCTTCATTATTATCATATTCATAAAATACATGTTCGTACATAAGTGATTCAAAACCATCAATTTTTAGCATTGTAGTGACATTGACTCTAACAATAATTCCATCATTTATCGTTATAGGATTCAAATATCCTACACAAAGACTTGGTGGTGTTAAAAGAGACGTTTGTGAAAATGCAATTATATCATTTTTTACATCTAAGATGCTGAGAGAACTTTCATCATTTTGTATCTCAGTCATAGTTTTATTTTCTGTACAAAACGTATTTATCAATTAGTATTATCGAAACTATATATACTCCTACAATAAATATAGTATCTCTTACTGATATCAATTATATAAGAGCGTATGTTAGTTTGCTGAGGTGTACTCAAGAACAAATATTGACAGTCTTCACTCCAACAACGTTGTGGTAATCGACCATATATACCATAAAATACTTTTCCATTATTAATAATTATACTGGTATCAACATTATTAACAAGTATATCAGACTAGAAAGAGAAAAAATATTTCATAAAAAAGAGTCACGTTTTTGTTTTATAAATAAATAAAAGATATGACGTACTTTTCTTTCAGTAAATTCAAGATCAAGATACATAAGCTTATGAACATTGTGATGTGGTCCACCAGCATTTCTTTCTAACCAAACAAGATGTTTCCCATCCGGGCTAATTCTAGGTGATCGCACTGCACACCCATCTCTAGATAGTAGATCTAAAAAATTTAATATACTTGAATATCTATTATATAATTATTATTGCTCTGCAGATAGTAAAAATATAAATATTTCTTACGAAAATTTCCATTATATATAATAAAAATCCAAGAACGTCTATTTGTGCATGCAACAAGCCCTAAACGTCTTGGTTCATGTTTCCAAACTACACCGATTATAGATTTTGAATCCTTCATCCAATGCAATTGTCCAGGAGACAATTTCTCTGGTATTTCTGATAATGTAGTAATTTCATCTGTCGTTATGTCAAGTATTACAGCAGTAGGACGATGTTTACCTACTAATTGCTCACCCCAATGAGGCTTATAAATATACTCATTACCCTGTTAATAAGATTTCTTTTTAATAATAACAATTGTTAATATCCAAATTTGTAATAATTCAAAATATATCAAGACATCTTACAGGTACTATTCCATCTTCTTCTTTTTTTTCTTTATCTTTCTTATCCAGAGACTTTTGTTTATAGAATGCTTCAGATTTTGGTATCTTTTTCTCTGCGATATATAGCACTTTGGTTTTATCTGGAGACCATTCGAAAGTACCAAATTCAGCTGTAAAAATTATTGAACAAATTATAAACTGAAATTTTATATATAATAAATAACACAATTTAAGAAAATTAAAAATGTTTTCTCTTACAATCTGTATAAACTTCACCATGTACATCTAAAGCCGTTAAATCATAATTTTTAATAAGTCGTTCTTTGGTCCAAATTTCAATGAACTGCTTTGGAGTATTATCAATGGTACTAGTTCTTAATACAGCTTTAAATTGTTCATCTTTTGTAGTGGCTGATGCAAGTCTTTATATAAAGAAAAAAATTATGTATATTTTTTTTTTTATAATGAAAAATAAATAGTAATTAAAAAATAAATATTATATGAGATATGATACATACTCTCCTGTAATATCAATAGGAAAACTTTGCGATATAGGTTGAAGTTTTTCATTTAGGATATGATTTTGTATAAAACGTTGATTTGTTCGTCTTTCTAGATTTCTTTGAGTCCATGTACTTTGTATAAAGATATTATCATTTGTAATACCAATAATTTTGGCTGAATTCAGTACAGAATTTTTCGCTAATAATTTGTAGTTATTTATAATCTTCTCTAACTATAAAAATAAAATACATTTTGTTAAACAAAGGAAGCAAAAGAGAATTAGTAACTAGTAAGATAAATTAGTATGGAGATATATATATATATATATATATATATATATATATATTTTAAAATCAAAAAATATATTGTAAAAGGAAAAAGAAAACAAAAAATATGTATTACACGTTAACCAATACTTACTCGAGTTGATGCCATTATGTCCTTTGTGAATTTACTAAGAACTGTTAAGAATACGTAAAGAACGTTCTTTTAAACTGATTAGTAAACATGAGCAATATATAAGAGCAAATATTCACGATAACAAATAGATAAAGTCACTGTAACAATTTATGGCATGTATTTAAAGAGAGAGATCTCTATTTTTTTGATAAAAAATCTATGATCAAATGTTCGTCGTATGATCTATCACTTAAATCGACAGTAATTATATGGCGAATGAATTTTTTTTTTTTTTTTTGGATATTTATTATGTTCGTATTAAATAAAGGTTGATATAAAGGTTTTGTCCTCTGATATTTGCGACGATTTAATTGGAAAACAGCCTTTTAAAATTCTAGCGGGAAAATGTAGCGGGAACATTTGCAAGATGGTGGAAAATTATCTGTGCGGGTATTAGTTTTTGTAGAAAAAAGTCAAAAAATGTATATATTGTTTAATACGTTCTAAAGTTGTAAATATTTTTAAATAATGTACATATTTTTTTTTTTTGAAGTATTTGTTTTATATTAATACGTATAATGAATGTGATACATATGCTTAATAATACTTTTAAATAAGAACATTGAAAGAAGTCGTTTAAATAATAATTAATTATTAGAATTAGTTAATTTTAAATCACACACATAATGGATTTTGCTTTGAAACATTGTACGATTAAAAACGAAATAAAAACTTTAAAGACATTTTATCCACATGATTTGCAAGTATATGATGTTCCACCTTTAGGTGAAATATCTTTAATTGAATTTCAAGAGTTAAGCCTCGATAGGTTAAAAGGTAAATTTTATTAATTTTATAAAGCTATTCATTTAACAAATCAATATTCAAACATATGAATTATTTTAGTCCTTCGTTTGGTTGAAAATATTTCTTTAAGAAATGACCTTAAAACGGTAGAAGTACGTAAAGAAAATTTAAGGGATAGTTTGAAAAGGGATGGTCTTAAATATTATGTAAATTTGATTTATGGAAATGGTTGCAAGTCTGATATAGAAACTGATCTTCAAGCCAGAAGAAAAGATAATATATCACATTATATTTTGAGACTGGCATATTGCAAGGACAAAGATCAGGCAAAATGGTTTATGAATCAAGAAATAGAATTATTCAAAATAAGATTCTCTTCTTTGGACAAAGAAGGTGTTGACCAGTTTCTAACTATGCATAAGCTCGATTGCAAACATGTATGTTTATTTTGAAAATACTTATCTGTAATTTTGTGATATAAATTTCATTGTTTATGTGAGTTTACACACACACACACACACACACATATATGTATTTATTTACTTATAAATGAACAATATATTAAGGTTTTTTCATAGATATCTTATGAAGAAAAAGAAAGAATTCGAGAAGACCTTCAAACATCTACTTTCAAAGTTACAAATATAGACACAATTGATTTCTATAAAGTACCATTTCAGAAAGTAATTGATCTTGTTAGAGCACGTAAAGTATATCTTGAAGATGGAATGGCATATGTTCCACGAAACGATCTGATTTCATTGTGTGTTTCATACTTCAGACAAAAACTAATTTTAGGAATAGAGGTTTGACTTGTTATTTTTTATCTCTTCTCTTAATTATATAAATTTTAATATTAATGGTATTAATTATCTTTACTTGTTTTGATATTGAATAGGACGCAAAAGAATGTCTTTTAAATGCCTCTGATGATGAACGAGTGATAAACTATATTAATGCCCTACCTGGTACCTTTTCTGGAATGGCTAGAGTAGTTTGGTCAACTACAAATACTCCAATTGAAAAAATAGAGAAAGTAAGTAATTTATAGATATATTTACAATAAGTGTGTTTTTAAAAATATCTTTATTTTATTTCTTTATTTAATATTTGTTTGCTTATAGTTATCAAAAACATCTTATCCATTATGCATGAGATCTCTTCATGAAGCATTACATGTCAATCATCATTTAAAGAATTCTGGACGTATTCAGTATGGTCTATTTCTTAAAGGAATAGGTGTTTCTTTAGAGGACGCATTGCAGTTTTGGAGGGAAGCATTTTCCCAAAAAATAGATTCAGATAAATTTGAAAAGCAATATGCATACAGTATCAGACATATATATGGAAAAGAGGGAAAGCAAACAAATTATACACCACTCGGTTGTAATAAAATAATAAGTAATTCCATTGGTCCTGGAGAATATCATGGTTGTCCATATAGGCATATGGATCAGAATTCTTTAAAACAAAAGCTATCTGCTTATGGCATCTTCGATTTAGGTATTATTTATTTATTTATTTATAAAATCCTGAAAGAGAAATCTATTTAGACATATAAAATTGAGGAAAAATCATTATTATAGATACAAAAGAAATAATCGAATTAGCAAAAGAAGGACATTATTCATTGGCATGTACAAGATATTTTCAGACATTACATAAGCAATTACCAGAACAACCAATTGTTCACCCAAATGGATATTTTGCTGAAAGTCGCAAAATAATGAATAAAGCTAATGATATTGCAGGTAAATGAAGAGTTAATTATTTCAAAAAAAAAAAAAAGCGATAGAAATCATTGGAATAATAGAAGTTAATTTTTTTTTATTGTATTAGATGCTGATATGGACAGTTCATTGCAAGTAGCAAATATAAAGCCAGAAAGATTGACGATTACTCCAAGAAGAAACGAAATAGGTAATCTTACACCTTCCAGAATTAACGAACAATTTTCTACACCGTCTAGAAGAACAGAAAAAATACATACAACTCCATTAAGGACCATTCACAAAACTAAACCGATAAATATTGAAAAGTTATTAAATGATGATGAAATTGCAGAATTAATGGATGATTAAATTCATTAAGGTAAAAAGCAATCTCTGTGTGCAGTGGAATCTATAATAATATGGTTATTTTTTTTTTTTTTTTAGATTATGATTATTCTTATAATATTTTTTCTACATTTCGTTCGTGTGCAAAATAAATAATTATTTTTATTATATACCTTTATTTATATATGAATTATTGCCTAATATATGATATATTATACGTAGCTGTTGACTTCCTTTAGACGATATTTTGGCAAAAAGTGTGTAGTAACATCTCGTATCATTGCGTTTACGAGTTTGTCTAGATCGTATTTATTTTCCCATCCCCAATCTTTTCGTGCCTCACTATCGTCAAAAACTTGTGGCCAATTTTCCGCTAAAAATAAAACATTTATATGTATATGATAAAAAAAACAAAACGATATATAGCAAATTTGTTTAAAAGGTATTTATATATAATTCTAACAACATGATATTCTTAGTTTTACTAACCAATGTGTTGTCGACTGTCCGGGTTATAAGTAATTTGCAAATTTGGAACATATTTTATGATCTCATCAAAGAGTTCCTCTGGTGTGAAACTCATAGCAGTAACATTATATACACGTCTTTTTAGTTTTTCACTTGGTGCATTTAAAAATTGAAAAATTGCCGAAAGACAATCCTCGATGTACATCATTGGTAATCGAGTGCAAGGTTCCAGGTAACACTCATATTTTTCATTTAACAGGCCTTCGTGAAAAACAGCTACTGCATAATCTGTAAATATGTATTGTAAGATGAAAATGAAAAAGGAGGAAGGCATTTAATAGAAATTATAAGCTTATTATTACTTTTAATATCTTTTTTTTTTCTATTCTAATTTACGGAAAGCAAAAGAAAAGAGAAGAAAAAGATGAGGATACATTAGTAGAGATAGAGAGATCGTTGGTACCACTGCAACCATCGAAGGATTGGTTGCACCATCGCGCATTTATAATCATGCTAAAGATCACGCTCTACTTCTTCACAAAAAACGTACTTATTGCGGCCTCTAATGGCATCCATTAAAGATCTCTTTATTTTATATGTGTCGCACGGAAGAAATCGTTCTCGGAACGAATACTAGTTTTGTGTAATTTTATATATGTATATATATATATACATCTCTTTTTTATAGTGTATTCTTTATATCCCGATTAAAGTATTTTCATTATTTTATACCTGTAACACCACCTCCAGGTGGATCGCAACTGATTACTCCTGGAAATCTAAGACATCGAAAATCTAAATTAAATCTGTGATAATAATATTCTCCCAAAAGTTCAGCATGAACTTTGCTAACGCCATAAATGGTACGGGGTCGTTGAATCGTAACATTTGGCGTTGGATTTCTTGGTGAATCCGGTCCGAATGCACCAATCGTTGAAGGTATGAAAATTCTTAATTTATATTGTTTGGCCAATTCAATAACATTATGCATACCTGAAAAAAAAATGTACAAGGAAATATAAATTGTCTATTTTGTTCACTCTCATCAAATCTCGGACAAAGTGAGCAAAGGAAAATCAAAAGGAATTGAAGTAGTAATACGCATGATATCTCTTTGGTGTATATCGTTGGTATATACTCGAAAGAAATGAACTCTAATATATTTTATTTTAATATAGAATTATTAAATAGACGATATGTTAAAAAAGAAAAAGATGATTAAACTCCGAGCGTGGCCAATTTACTTTCTCTTGTAGTCTCTCTTTCGTAACCAGAACGATACGATCGTGAACGTAACGACAGATTCGCTCGTTACCACGGCATTCGATTTCACTGAATTGTAGTCGTTAGTAGACGATGAAGATCCATTTTTGTTCTCTTCTTGAATGTACAACATATCTGACCAAGCTAGTCAGTCATGTACATATGTCCTATTATGCGATATGTATTACTCGCATAATTATCATTATAATACTTCAGGAGAAAAAGAGAGTTAAATTAGAAGAAGGAAATTAGTAAAAAATAATAAAGTGTTCTTAAAAACCTTCAATGTTAACTCTCACAGCCAAAGGAACATTCTGCTCTCCCACGGCGCTAAGAAGAGCACTGAAATGAATTAGCCAATCTATTCTATAATCAACGACGATCTTTTGAAGATTTTTAAAATCAAGAATGTCTGCGAATATGAATGGTCCATTAGCCAAATTTTCCTCCGTTGGTTTGATGATATCCGAAAGAATTACATTATCACTTCCGTAATTCTTGCGTAGTAACTTGGCACATTCTGTACCTAATTGTCCAAGGCCACCTGTTATTAGATCGTGTTGCTAATATAAATGCTAATATAAATAAGCACATAATAATTCTGATATCTATCGAAATATTCTTTTATCAATCGAAATATTTTTTTATC